AGATGCAGTGAGTTGTGCGTGGCTGTACAATTAATTAAAAGAGCTAAAACAGCCCGTTAGACAACTTTACCTGGGCAATAGTAGCCACATGGCTGCTGCTTAGTTGCTACAGGAGTGGAGAAGGTCAGTTGGTCAGTCTTTCCTTTTGAGCTTTGCCTGTGAAGAGTCTGGAGACCTCATTGTTACCCCGAAGCAGAACAGCTGAAAATGCCCTTTTGTGACTTGAACCTGATACGAGGGAGAGGGCTGGAGCTGTTGACTCTTCCAGAGTAGGTGCAAAAGGACAGCGGGGGGAGAGGAAGGCTATTTTGTTCGAGAAGAGTCTTGGTTCTGTAAGGCTAGGCAGCCTGTCAAGGGAGGGAAAAGCTGTGTGAAATACAGACAAACCTATGTAATTGTTTGGTGTCGGTCATTCAGACATGATAATGCCTGTTTGTGTGTGTCGTTATTAGAGGAGCCGCGGTCTAGAACAAAGTCTAGTATGCAATTACATTCAGATATCTTAATTAGCTCCTTATGACTTTTTCCACCTTCCTTAAGGGTTTTCTTCTGCAGAGTAGGCACGCTCACCATTTCTGCTGCTTAGAGAAGCTTGCAGGTGACTAGTGAGGTTTGGGGATCTCGCTTCTCCCCAACAAGTGAGCATGACTTCAAAGACAGCGGCCAGCGGGCGGAGGGCTGTCTGCCAGCCAGCGAGGCTTTCCCAGGGCGGGTCTTGCTGGTCACCTCGGGATAGCCTACGCGTGGTGGTTGCTTTGAGGCTGGAGTCTTGCAACACTTTTTAAAGTCAGGGTAATTGTCGAACCTCTGGTGTGAGGTGAATCCTAAAAGGCTGAAGGAGTTGCTGTTGGCAGTACTGAAGTCTGAGAGGAGTTAGGCTGTCAGACTGGGTAAGCAGACAGGGATTTAGTTCCTATGAAAAGGTTTCAGGTGGAAAGCCCAGTGCAGCTGATAAAGTAGGGTGACTATGAACAAGTTCCAGAAATAAAATGTACCTGTTTGCATGGTGACCAAACAGTTGCCACCTGCATCAGATGTGCCACGTGCCTTATTCCAGTGAGATGGGTCTGACCAGGATAGCCCTGGAACTGCCTGTCTGAGGAAAGTTACCTGTGCGAACGTTAAGGAAGCGAGTGGTAAAGTAGGAAACATGAGAGAATGAGCTAGGAAGAGATGATGTTCCTTTTTTTTTTTCCCCTTACCCCCCCCTCCCCCTGTGTTTAAACAAGCCTTTAAGTCTGAAAGGTAGGCTGTAGTTAAACCAATAACAGAACTCTTGCTGGCTTTCTTCTAACAAACATCCTCAGCCTGAAGCAGACATCAGTGTCTCCTTTTGGTCTGTGGCTGCAGGAAGGTGTGAATAACCAAACATTAGCCCTGCCAAGCAAAAGGCGAGGAGCTAATACCATGCTGGTGCACCTCGGCCTCGGGCAGTAAATGCTGAAGGCAGCAGCGTGTGTCCCTGCGGGGTGACGTGGTGCAGGCGTAGCTGGTTACTCCTAGGAGTACCCTGGGCATGCTGCCCTGCTGCCTTCCCCAGTGCTTTGAGGGAGGCTCTGTTAGACCTGCTGCGTCCGGCAGGGATGCATCTGCGGCATGGTGACGCCGGGCTGGGCATCCCCAGGCTACGCTGGGACTCTTCAATAGCTGCTCATCGCTCCCATGCAGAATCTTCCGCCCTCCCTAGGATGTTCTGCCATTCAGCCTGTCTGCATGTCGTGTGCTGCCTCGTTGTTGTGAGCCTCCAAGACAGTCAGATTCCCCCTTAAAACTTAGAGCGAGGAGTAGAAAATGAAAAGCAGGATGGGGAGCGAGCATGGGAGAAGAGAATGTTACCAGATTTAACAGCAGTTTTGGATGCTGCATGTTATTTAACTTGTCTTTGTCTCTGCTCTAGGGAACAGAGAAATTCAGCCCTCCTTTTGTTGCGTTCTTTAGAGTACAATACTACGTAGAAAACGGAAGAGTAATAAGGTAAGTTCCCTTCTGTGGTCGTTACTGTGCTTTGAATTATCCACTGTGTTCTTAAAAGGCAAGAAAAATAATGTTTCTTTCTTAATCTCATCTCTGTGAGCTCAGAGAAGTACGCTTAAAAAATTCACTTGATTTTTTTTTTTTTTTTTTAAAAGACCTTCACAGCCTTGCTCACCCAGCCATGAATGTTTTCCCCCTGAATCGTACTCCTTATCCCTAGGAAAACTGTCGCTGCTTTTCCATCTGTGCTTAGAGAGCAGGCTGAATGACAACAGTATCAAAATACATTTAACACTGTTTTGTTTGCATCTTTTGATTGTATGAAAAGCATCAGATGAGTATACCAAGAACAGCTAGTTGTACTCCAGAGCACATGCTCATAATTTTGGATCTGTTTTTTTTTTTTTTTGTTTTGTTTTTTTTTTTGTATCTGAGCAGTGCTCTGTGCTGTCTGCTCCTGGAAAGGGACTTCTGTCAAGGGATAAAAGAAATTACTTCGTAAGTTAGAGTTTTCTATTTGAGTGTAGTCCATTCCCAGGGAATATGGGCTGCGCTCAGAGCACCCCCACTCTCACCCATGGTACAGAACAAAGGCTGACGTAGTTAAAAATGACCAACTGACAGAGTTAATTTGCATCAGCACTTCTGGCACGGCTGTGACCCCGGGGCAAGCCCAGAGCTGGGATCGTTTGGGTGGACTGAAATCTTCACCAGATTTTTGGCATTTGTTCTCATCTTGAACAAAGCTTGGTGGTTTTTTGTTTTTTTCTCTCCATAGTCTTTCATTTTGGATACAGAGGAGTCTTTCTTCTGGAGTCTGTTCGGCTGTTAAGTGTTTTTTATTTAGTTTTGCTTTTAGGTACAAAGGGAGGTTGCATATCATTCTACCACCCTCAATGCAAGTATCCTTTAGCATCACAAACAGCTTTCTCTTACACTGGTAATTTAGTTGGAGAGGTTTCTGGAGCCGTGCAGAGGTAGTTCCATGGCTCCTCCAAACTACACACGCACTCTGTGAGCAGACGGTAGCGCCCAGCACCCCGTCCGTACATGCGTGTCGGCAGCCGGGGTGGCGTGGGTTTTATCAGCGCTACGTGGTGGTTAAGCCTTATCAGACTATCCCTGCTGCGCGGCTGGAGGAAGAAGGCAAAAACAAGCCCAAGGCTCCTGTGTCTTTTGATCTACCTTGCAGGGAATTAGCTGTTGAAAAGTACCCGGAGCCTAAGGCGAGGTGAAATGAAAAAGCGGTGCCAGGTTTGGAGGGGAAAGGAGGACAGGTGTGCAAGAAACGGGGCTGGGATTCGAGGGAGCCGGCTCTCCCGACTGCTACGGGCTTTCCAGAGAAACACCAGTGCTTGTTGTAGTCAGTCTCCAAAACAGGCGTGATGTGATTTTTCTTTCATCTGCCTTCTGCCCTAACTTCTTAGATCTCGTGCTCCTCAAGATAGAAGCTACCGTTTCCCATGTTTGTACAACACTCTCTGGGAGCAGACCTTGATCTTGGCTGGTGCTCCCTGCGCGCACACGGCTGTGTCTGGGTGGCATTGGCACACACCAGGGATGTCAAAGTCGAATTCCTCCCCGCAGAAGGAAGATGTGTTTGAGGGGCCTTACCTGAGCCTGAACTTTCTTTTCTGCTCCAGTGAAATTCGCCTTTATGTCTTGCAGCGACAAGGTGGCACGGCAGCTCTACTACTGCCATCTCAAAGAGCAAGTACTTATGTCTCGGTGCAACCACAAAGAGGAAATCTACTTCTTGCTGGCTGCCTACAGCTTACAGGCAGACTTGGGCAACTACAGGGAGAAGGTCCATGCTGGCAAATATTTTGAACCTCAGGCTTATTTCCCGCAGTGGGTAAGTTCCAGAGGATCTTTTGTCAACAGATTGCACGCACAGGAGGAGCTGTGTCTGGGTGGTACCTAACTGCAGCCACGCAACTTCCCCAACTCCCACTGCAATGACTGGGCTGAGTCTCACCCTGAATTTCCCTCAGGAGACATCTCCTTTCTTTCCACTGGATGTAGGTGCCCGTTCCTCCTGGGCTCCCTGGTTGGTGAGGTGGGTGGTGTGTGCCCTTCCTTGTTGAGGGAAAGTGTTGGTGTCAAACAAGTAACGCCGACAGCACGGCTATCTTTGTTTAATTCTTCTGTGGTTTAAAGGGCTGTGTGTTTGCAGGGGTGCATCAGCAAGATCTGTGCAACCTAAGCTCTACAGAAAACCTCAGGGCCGCGAAGCCAAGTCCATTGGCTTTTGTTCCTGTCTCTGTAGTGCTTACCCCTGGGATGGAGAGACCCAAAGCCTAAGGGGCAGTGCTGCTGCACAGTGCCTCCGGTGCTTGCTTTGCTGTTAATCCCTGGCTCAGCTGCAAAAAGAGAAAAGGGAAGGGCTTGGAAATGGGTTTGCATGTTGGTTTATAAATATGTGCACATGGGCTTGTGCCCTTCAAGGCTTACAGCTTACAAAAACCCAGAGTTGGTTTAGTTATCAAATAAAGGCAAATTAGCTAAGACTCTGTGAGAGCTGGTTACCTGCAGAGAGTTCTCCTCTTGTGGTGAAATGACAAGAAAGCTGTTGATAAACACTTTAGTGCCCATAAAAATAGAAAGAGAAGCTGGCTTTGCTGCAGACGCGTGACAGTAACGTCTGATGATGTCTGCTGGAGCAGGATGTTCCCTGGGACCTGGACAGACCCTCCTCTGTGATTTGGTTTAGTTTTGGAGCCCCCTTCTCTGCTGTGACAGCGGATTTTAGCCCAGCTTGTGCCTTGGGATAGCTGCCAGACAGCCCAGATGCCTCTGGTAGCTGGCTGCTTGTCCCCAGCGCCGTTCTCGCAGCCGACGGGCCTGCAGCCCGTGCCGTTCCCTGCTGCGGGGCGCCTGGCAGGGGGCAGCTAGCAAAGGGCTGGGAAAGGCAGGTCTCCTGCCTGCCGTTTCTGGGGCAGTTAAAACTCTTATCACAGACTGTTGCTCATCTGGCAAACATTGCAAAGGCCAAGGCAAAGCCTGGCTCACCTGTGCTGAGCCACAACCCCGAGCAAGTATGTGGGTGATTGATTGCGTCATTACAAAGAGCAAAACCTGGCAGGTGTGGGGACGCTTCTCTCCCTGCCCCTGGGCTCCCGTGGGGAGATACTGAGCCATGATCTCCTCCTGCAACGCAGTCTCTTCCTCCAGCACGTGCTTGACATCATTTGGCCTCCAGCCTTGCGCTGGTGAGGAGACATGGTGCTGCCCCAGGGTAACCAGCCTGGCTTTGAGCTCCAGACTGGCATGTCTCTTTCTGCTGACGTCGCGCAGCTGATGGCATCAACGTAGTCCTCCACCAAGCCCAGCCTTCCTCATGGTGGGGCAACTGATCTGGCAAGGCATTCAGAGGAGTTACTGAATGGGGCTTAACAGAAAATGGAAGTGGGAACTGGGTGGTGATGGGGTCTGGTTGTTTTGAGCCAGGCAGAATGTTCTCGGGTGCCTGGTGGGATCTAGTTTTAAATGTCTTTAGTGGTGGGGGATTTTGTGAATTCAGCCAACACCTCTCTTCTCTGTCACTGCTGCTCGCAGCCTGGAAGGGCCCAGTCAAGCAGGGGAGGGGGTCGAGCTGCCCCATGGCCTTGTACGGAGAGGGCACGTGGGCCGGTGTGGGAGCTGGACCCTCTCAGGGCAAGAGCAAAAGGCCCAGTGTGGGTTTTTCTGCTGCTGAACTAAGCCACGTGCCTGCCAGCCGCTCCCAGCAGATTAAAAAAACGCTTTGAGATAGTGTTATCTGCCCCTTTGAGGATGGAAATGCTAAATAAGCCTAATGTGTAGTTTCTGGTCTTAAAAGGACCACCTAGCGTTGCTGCAGCGCTTGGAGATGTTGCTGTTGATCGCGTTGGCATGCAGAGCAGGATTTGTTATCTGCGCTTCTGGATGCCAAGAGCTAGGAAAACTAATTCCAGTACTTCAAAATGAAAAGAGCTGACATGACCTCTGTAGTCATGGTCTGTTGTGATTTTGCCACTAGGATCTGTTTGGAGACACCGGTGTCATCTGGGCTGCTTTAAATGGTTATGCTCCAGGGAGGTAGAGGTGAACGTGGACCAACATCTGGAGGCACCGTAGGAACCTCCTCCACCTTTCGTCTCTGCTGTTGGTCGCAGCTGCCTCCTGTGGGGATTGCTGGAGAGTTGCTGACCTGTTTGTTTTCCTTGTGGTTTAGATAATTGCAAAGAGGGGGAGCGACTACATCTTGAAACACGCCCCAGAGATGCACCGAGAACAGCAAGGGCTGAGCGCTAAGGAAGCGGTGCTGAAGTTTATCAAGGAGTCCTGCCTGCTGGAGGATGTGCCCGTCCACTTTTACAGGCTGCAGAAGGTTAAACAAAGAGCTTCTGATTTTTAACCTCCCTCCCATCATTAATTGGGTGCCGTGCTGCATTTTTCACTTTCTGTTTATTTGAGGGACGGTTGCCTCTGATTCAGAGAGGCCAAGCAAGTCTAAAATCTTCAGCCAGCGAGGCCTGTCCCCAGGAACAAATCTGTTGCCGGTATACAGGTACAGCTGGAATCTAGTTTTGTTCCTGGGCCAAGAAACTGGCCACAGGAATGGCAAAATTTAATTTTTTACCTTGTCTGTCGCTGGACTCGCACCAGGGAAGTCACTGAGAAGCCTTTTTTTGTTGCAGTCCATTGAAATGGTGGCAGCAGGTTGGCCAGCTTTCACACAGATGCCATGTCATAACCGAAGGTGACACTGTGGCATCCCGACTTTCTTACCCTCCAACCCTGTCAGAGTGGATGGTGTTTTTCCAGCTGTGTGTCAGGTTTTGGATTCCTGAATTGTTGCTTGTCCTGGAGTCTTAAACTCCTTACCCAAGCCTGCTTAGACAGCATGTTTCATTTTCGGGTGCTAAGAGAGTTTAAGTCTAGAGAGACTGAAGAGAAGTCTCCTGTTCCACTTAGGTGAGTGAAACCTGCTCGTGCTATTAGGAGTGGTTTGGAACTTTTTTCCAGATGGAGAGACTCCACTTTGTCAGACTCATAATGAAACTTCTGGATTGTTTGTGCTGAGTGGGAATTATGTTGTCTGGGAGGTATCTGGGTCCTTGCACCAGATCTAGCAGCTCTAGTTACTAGAGAAACGGGCGTTTTCTGGAGGAAAGAGGTTCCAGTTTGGTCTCTAGTCCAGGCTTAGTTTCAGTTCCTCGCAAACCATAAATGCTCCCCCTAACTCTCCTGTGTCCTCTCTGTTTTGATTCTAATGCTGCTAATGATGCAGTCCTGAGAGGGTTTGTTACACTTGAATGCCATAAGAAATCCAGCTGGCAGGACACGATACAATTTATATCCGAAAGCTCCAGGGCTGTGAAATTGGTTGCTCTTAATACCCAAATTCCTGTCTGACTTGAACTTCTATTTTACACACCGCTGGCTCCTTCGTGTGTTGTTTGATCCGCAGTGTGCTCTTTTTTTCTGCCGTGTGACACAGTGGTCTCATCTTGCGATGAGATGTCCTCCTCCGTGGTGACCCCTCGGTGGGAAAGTGCCGATGGAGCGTGCAGGGCTGCCGGGTGAAGGTGTCGGTGCGCTGGCTGCCCCTGTGATTTCCAAAGCACTCCCTTCTGTCTTACACCCTCCTCACGGCTGCTGCTGAGGTTGGGAACTCCAAAAGAAAACACAGTGCTGAGCCCTGTGTCTCTCCTCCAGGCCATACTGATTTACGAAGCTTTTTGCCCTTAGGAGGCAGGAAGCATTTCTTAGTGACTTTAAACTGGAGGCGTGGATGGTACCAGGGACAAAGGGTGAGGTGAGGCCGAAGGCTTTTGCATCTTGAAAAGCCAGATGAGGAGAGAAAGTTTTGATGTAAAGTTTGAGCTCTGTGAGCCAAGAAATTTTTAGCCCAAAATTTCATTCCTCCTGCTCTTCCAAGCCAGAACAGTGTGTGTTCCCCTCGCTAACTCTGCCATGCCAGGAGAGACCAAAATAACTCATTTATGGTATTTTTTGGCCTTCAAGCAAAGGAATCTCATTAGAGCCCAGGTATGTCATACCGTGAGGAAAAACAAGGCAGTATTCTAACCCAGCTGCGAACATCTAAACCCACCTTCTCCCAACACTGAGATCAAAAGGTTAGAAGGAGAGTCCCTGTAACTCTGGGCATGGATTAGCTCCCTCCCGGCCAAGGGACACCCCTAAGGTCCAGCAGGTCCCTGGGTGGGAGCGGCAGTGTCACAGCAAGGAGGAGGAGAGAGGCATCGCTTCTGTTTCAGGCTCTCTGTCACCTGCGGAGCGAGTGGCACATGCTCACGGGGACAGCAGAGCCAGCGCGTGGCAGCAGGAGAGGTTACGAGGTGCCTCAGAGCAGGGGTTGTCCAGGCCCTCGGATCACTAGCGCTGCAGGATTCCCTGTCCAGGGCAGCTAAGGCGTTTGCTGGTGAAATGCTCGAGACGCCCAGCACGAGGGGATTTTAGGTGTAGATATTTCAGGGGTCAGCAAGGCAAGGTGCACTTTACAAACACAATAAAAACCCGATGAGCTGATGGCATCTGCCTGACGAGGGGTCCTGCTACCTCTCCTGCAGTAGGTGCCAGAACAAGAGCGTGCTCTTTGTAGATTAACCTTTGACTCCAGGCTCTTCTGTTCTCTTAGGATAAGAAGGAGGATCGCCCCACGGTTATCCTGGGCCTGACCCTGAGAGGAATGCACATCTATCAGGTAACAGACTGCTATGAAAGCCATCTGGTGTAGCATTAACTCTGCCCAGCTCCCCTGTCCTCCCCCCCTCCTCAGCCCCTCTGCCTCCCCTGCGAGCGCCAGGCTCCGCATATCTCGAATTCTTGGGCGTTTGCAAATTCTTTGCGCGTCGCCGACTCCACCCTGTACCTGCCAGTCCCCGTGTCACTCCGGGTTTGATGTGTTGCAGGAGGTGAACCACGTTCGCCAGCTCCTCTACGACTTTCCCTGGTCGCACATCGGGAAGCTGGCGTTCCTGGTGAGTAGGGCGGAACGGAGACCGTCCGGCAGCGGGCTGCCAGCGTGGGACCGGGCGAAGCTGCTGGTGTGCCCGCACCGCCACGTCGAGCCCTGTTGCCCACCGCAGCTATCTCTGGTAGCTGTGAGCTGGAAACGTGCTCTTGCTCATTCCGCTGGCGTCTCTCCTCTTCACGCAGGGGAAAAAATTTGAGATCCAGCCGGACGGTTTGCCCTCTGCACGGAAGCTGGTGTACTACACGGGTTGCCCCTTCAGGTCACGGCACTTGCTGCAGCTCCTCAGCAACAGCCACCGGCTCTTCCTGAATATCCAGCCAGTGCTGAAGCAGATCCGAAAGCTGGAGGAGGCCGAAGGTACGTGACAGAAGAGCAGGTGACTTTTTAAGGGGATGAGTACAGCATGTTAGGTCCTGCTGTTGCTTCGTGGTGGCTGCTCTCTAATTAATGGTGTTTCTGCCTTATCAGGAAGCCGGTGAGAGAAATAGAGGTGTTAGATACATTTCAGGGCCATTACTGGGAAGTGTTTATGGCTCCCACATTGCTAGACCGTGATCAGAAAGCGAGTGTGAGAGCAGGAGAGGGGGCATCTCTCCCTGCAAGTGAGAGGAAATCCTCGTGCTGTGCACTTTTGACACATGCTTCTGAGTGGAAGTAATTCTGAATAAAAAGCTTTCCATCGGGATAAGATCTTCATGTGTTGAAGCAGCGGCATAAGTTGTGAGCCTGTCCCTTCATTTTTTAGTGCCCTGTACTAAACACTGCACACGTGTCCGACAGTTCAGAGCTAGGAGTTGCAGGTGCCAGAAGCAGCCTGAGAGCCAATCAGGACTCCCAGAATTTGTCTTTTCTGGTGGGGTCCCCTCTCCATGGGGACAGCGATTTGAACAGTCCCTGGTATCCTTCCAGGCAAACTTCAGTCGTGCCATCCCTTCTCAGCTCGCCCCCTTCCATCTTCCAGCTCTGCAGGCTGGATCTCCTACAGCTTCTCAGCCGCCTCTCCCTGGTGGCTGTTACAGAATCACAGAATGGTCGGGGTTAGAAGGGACCTCTGTGGGTCACCCAGTCCAACCCCCCTGCCGAAGCAGGGTCACCCAGAGCAGGCTGCACAGGACCTTGTCCAGGCAGGGTTGGAATATCTCCAGAGAAGGAGACTCCACAGCCTCCCTGGGCAGCCTGGGCCAGGGCTCTGTCACCCTCAGAGGGAAGAAGTTCTTCCTTGGGTTCAGCTGGAACTTCCTCTGCTTCAGTTTGTGCCCGTTGCCCCTTGTCCTGTCGCTGGGCACCACTGAAAAGAGTTTGGCCAGCTGTTCTTGGTGCATTGCATAGGTCCTCTTTCGGAGGTGTGTCCCCCCTTCCCTCTAGCCTTCTCCTCAATGCTTTTTTCCCCTACTTCTTTCCTGACCGCTGTTCCCTGCATTCTCCATTCATGCTTTCTGTCTTCTCCGGGCTTTGTAAGCTTGGTGTTGTCACCTTCCAGGTCCGTAGAAGTCAGCCAGCAGTAGCTGGTCCTCAGGCTGACTCCTTCCAGGGAGAACTCAGGCAACAACCACAGTGTCTTCCTGTCTCGACTAACGCTAAGGAGCTCGCATCCACCTCTGGAGTGGGAATCGCTGGCTGCGTGGGATCGGTGTGCAGGGCAAGGCAGCGCGAGGTCTCCTCTAGCTTGGTTGTTCCTGCCCTTCCCGTCAGCGGGGTTACGGCCGTGGCCCGGAGCCGTGCGGGCGCAAGCAGCGGCAGGGCCAGTGGCCTG